CAGTATCATTTTCTGTGGATAGTTTAGAATGTAAATTAAGGATCCTTGTAACAAACACTAACTACGCACAGGAAACTTTTTCTGACAATACGATTTGTTATTTCTTATATGAAATGAAAGTGAAATTTCTTATAAGGGTCTTTTATAAAAACAATATGGAAACGAGATGAATGAAACAAAATATAATATACAACCTTACATAATATCAATATAAGAGAAAGCACATAAATGGCATTTATTTATACTTTATGCATGTATATAATTTTAGCTCGATTGATTAATCAGTAAGTAAAGAATAGTTTTCGTTTTGAAAATTGTTTCCACATCATCTTATTATTTAAGGTAGGAAGTATATTAGAGCTTTTTTTTCAACACAGGTACTATGGTTTCTACATCACAGCTAATCGTATTATGTAGGAAACGTACTAAAGCTGTTTTATCATAACAAGTAATGTAGATGTCCTGATCAGATAAATATAGAAAGCAGGTGAGTATTGCTCGGTAAACATGGTATGTGAGCGTGATATTAAGGATGGACTTCTTTTCTGGGGGTTTTGTGCAATGGCAGATTGTTTTTGACGGCATCAGGATTTGAATTGTCTGCTAACTTAGTGTTAACAATGTGAAATAATCAAGGAAAAAGTATCATATTTGCGTTTAAGCTACATTGTATTGTATTGTGTTGATAAAGACTTAAACACGTCGCTCTCCCGTAAAAAATCCGTAGAGCGTATCTATATAAGTATCAAAGAGGGTGTTACAAAGAGTTTGGTAAAAAAAAACGCCTATTTATTGACTTCTGGACACCAATGGCATACACGAGCGACACGGTCTGATTAGTGTAGGGGGATACTATAGTACATGTACATGAGGTCAACATTTTATTGTAAGTTTCCAGTACAGAAAGCATACATGTTTTTTTGTAAATGTATTCAAGGTTACAAGATAAACCCTTTTTTTGATGTACCACTTTAACACCTTAATCCCTTATGATCTAGCATATTGTGCCTACACATTGATTACACAAATCCCTTTGCCAGACAATATTATGAATATTAGTGCATTTCATTCGTAATACTTTAGTTACCACAACGTCACTTAATGATTCATAGGTTTGGTAGTTAATATCACGTACAATGTAAAGATCAACTCCATTGTACATTGGTATCCCGAATAAAAACACACACTAAGTCGCATATACATGTACATTCGACGTTGGCACCTTTGCTGATGTTGTGGTCTCGAAAACATTTCCTCTCACATGAATAGGCATCACTTGTGGCTGCTTGTCTACCTCATCCTCGAGGTTTATCTCAGCATCGATGTTATCCGTGTTCAATAGTAAGGGTACTAGGTCCCAATGTGTATAACTTCCTCATCTGTCTCACAGCTCCGGCCTTTCTGACGTTTTCAGGATCTTTTACTCATAAACACCTAATGACTAATTGACCAAATTTGGTTCTATCGGTTTGAGGGAAGGGACTGCTGTTCCAGCAAGTAGCTATTCTGTTCCCCTACTCAAGACGTAGAGATCCCTATTTATATACAGATAGTGGTCAATTTCCGGTTACTATTTCAGCTGCGAATCAGGAGGACTCAACGACCCTCCATACATTGCACTGAAATTATGTAATACGATTTTGGTAGGATAAATGTTAAAGTATGGTACACTTTAAAGACAATTGTGTATGCGTTTAAAAGCAAACCCCACTAAACACTACTTTTAATATCAAGTTATCGAGTTAAGTTGCAACATAGATTATTAGAAATCTTATTTTCGGCAAGGCCAATATATCTGACTAAATATTGTCTATTTAACCAATAGCAATGGTCATAAACACTGTTCCGATTATCTAAATGCAATTGAACAATGGTGTTTCGATAACATTTCCGATTCTATATAAATGTTTGTTGTATAAACAAAACGTGTTTACGGTCCCGTTTGATTGTTAAATGACAAGTGCAACACAAACAGACATATTGCCAACATTGCATAATATTCTAATCCTCATGATCATATCAGCTTTGAGTACAGTCCTCGGACATTGCATAATATTCTAATCATAATGATTAGGTCAGCTTTGAGTACAGTCCTCGAACATTGCATAATATTCTAATCATAATGATTAGATCAGCTTTGTTTGAGTACAGTCCTCGGACATTGCATAATATTTTAGCATAGTAACTGCAAAATAAAACGCTGCTCATCAGTGTTTGTCAATAAAATAGTATTGATGAACAAAACACGATTTATATATAACAAATTAACGACATATCTGATCACACAAAGGAAGTATAGTAGTTCAGGCTACAAACACGATGTATATATAACAAATTAACGACATATCTGATCACACAAAGGAAGTATAGTAGTTCAGGCTACAAACACGATTTATATGTAACAAATTAACGACATATCTGATCACACAAAGGAAGTATAGTAGATCAGGCTACATATATGATTTTTTGAAAAACAATTTACAATTAATAGCAATATCATCATTATATATGTTTTTTCATCATACTTGTTATGTCATTTGAAGGATAATTTTGTTCAAAATATAAAGAAAGTGGAGTGTACATTGTAAACCTAACAGATTTAAGAGCCGGTAGAGTCGGTCGAGAAAAAAAACCTTCAAGGAGCCTGTTTGATATTATTAATTAAAACAATTTAGTTACAAGTAAATGATAAGAAGTTACTTCTGTTTACCTTGAAGGGATTTTTTAAGTAAACTGGATACTGCCGGGGTTGGGGAGCCCCGGGATCAGCATCTTCACAATCATGTGTCCTCATACAAGAGGGCTATCATACTTTCTTTCATAGTTACTAGTAATTATATTATTATTTCTTTATTTTGACTGTCTTCTTTAACACTCATACTTATATTCATACTTGCATTCAAAATACATACATGTGTGCAATCCCTTTTAGAATTTTATCATGAAAGAAGACAATATGCATAAACGATCTCATATTTCACAATCAGATAAATAGACAGCACATTGTCTTTGAAAGCAAACCTTTCGCGATCCAGTTGATCTTTAACATTACGTCCTTAGATAAACTGTACTGGATTTGACAGGTGACATAACAGGGGACTTATATTATACAGAAAAGTAACGTACGGTTCGGGACATCTTATTTTGGCCTTCGCTTTGTGTGAGGAATCCATGATGGATTTCCTTTTGCTGTTAGTGCTTTTCGTCTCATCATTGTTTGTCTATATGTCATTGTGTACTAATGCTACATATATAAATATTTAATAAATACATAAATACATAGTTATGAAACACTCTTTATGATTGAATTTGAAGTTATTTCTACTTTTATACTTTTTATAAAAATGAAATTTATCATATCGTTTTATCCTAGATATTCTCTCATATATTCCATGTTTTCCTGTGATGACGTGGCGAGTTTAATATGTAACACTTGTGGTATATATACATCGTTCACATTGCCAAACACTTGGAAATATCAAATGAAGTTGGATGACTTTTTCTCTGATGTTAAATTGTATGAAATTACTCATTTGTGTGACGACAAATATACTGACTAGACATTTTGTTGGTAATGTTTAACTTTTACAGATGTAAGAGTACACTGTAACGTTTTGTCACAGTAGATCACTTAATCAAATAACCCATTCATAGGTAAAACCATTTCCGAATACTTACATTATTGAATCCATTGATAGTGTTTTGTAATTAGAAATTTTGGCATATTGGAGATATCTAGCTGAAAAAGAGCACTAACTTCATTACATACTGTACGCCACGGGTTACGATAGACAGAGTTGTCTCTCTTACTTTGATACACGTGTGTAGGTTCAGAGCTGGCAATGCTGTCATGTAAATATAAAAACAACATCACATACCTAACTCAATAAAACTTGTAAGAATACAGATAACAATCACTAACACCATCCTTAGCACACCTGTTAGGTGTACACCTTGTCACCTACCATACAGTCCATCATGATGCCTTGCCGAATCACTCACATACTATTCCGTCTTTGCGTATTGCAGAGTTATCTTCTCTTGGGAGCAGGTATTGATTGTTACGTCACTTGTTTGTGAGAGTAACGTCTTCAGTTTTTGAGAAAACGACGTAATTTTCTCGCACAAACCAATGACGTAACAATCAATACCTGCTCCCAAGTGAAGATAACTCTGCAATACACAAAGACGGAATACTTACTTAATTGAGGTAGATTGCAAACCCACTCTTGATCGTGCGATCATTGATCCATGCCATTGTGTATTTTAAGTTTCATCGCTACTATATGAAAATCTTTATAAAATTGTGTTTGTTAATTTATTATCAACTTAATTGTACAGCTTTCAAAACAATCATGTAAAAAGTACGCTAGAAACAACAAGCCATATCTTAATAGTTTTAAAGGACATCTAGTACAACAGATAATTACAACAATAGTCACAACTGTATTAAAGAATTCACATTCTAACCATGATCCGTAAATAGCTACCCTGTTTCCTTGTGATTAGTTGTCGATCATATTTTAAAAAAATCAGATTTTAAAAAAAGAAAATGTATCGCCATTATTCACCAGTGCCATATATTCTTTAAATGGTGACTTAAGCTTAATCAATGATCAGTGCAAATAACCTTTTTCTTTTATCTTAAAAACACAACCACTACACACTAACTGGGCCCAGTGGATTTACTGTTATTATAGTACTCACAGAAGATCGTAGAATCAGGTATTTGTACACAGTATCATGAAAAGTCCAAATGATTGGCAGCAACAACGTTTCTTAATATTTTTTGATATAAATAAATGTACGAGCTATTATCAAAATAAACATTATTTAAGCAAGTTCCTGAAGCGGGAATTAATTAATAGATTAAACCTTATAACACTCAGAAAACAACTTCAATCGCGACATAATAACATGTGGGTAAATTCAGATTAATGAAATGTAAACATCATAAAACATCCGGTCATGGTTTCCATTCCTGTCAGTAGTATGTTCTGTTGAGTAAACCAAAACATCCGGTGACCATGTAGTGCTGTCTATGTTGATCAACTTCCTGGCATTGCCTGTTACAATCGGGAATGTGATGACAAACATAAAGAAATCTGTCACGACTTCTGCGTATAGGTAAGACTTACCTTCTGATAGGGATGTCTCAGTAAACTTACACACGTACTGACGTGTAGCAATATAAACAGCATGTACCTATAGTGACACCATGTTATCAATCGCCCTAGCCGGTCTCTATCTCCAATAATATAGTTTATAATTATTCACACTGAAATATAAACTGTCATTAATATACAATTATATATCATACCTGGCCCGTCATGTTTACCAAGCAGAGGCCTATCTACTCTTCGTTTTTAGTTCTCGTTTTGTTCAGTACAACATGTTACATTATTTAATGTATGCTATATACATGAAATTCACAACTGAATAGTGTTTATGATGTTCCGCTATGTCAATACAAGCACACTTGTGTACACGAGTTCATTCTGTGATAATGCACAGCAGTAAAGTACATGTCCCTATATCAGTCATGGGATGTTTATGGTGCACGCTTTCCACATACAGTATTGTGGCCTGAATTATATCGATAACAAAGTCACATGACATGCCTTATCGTGTCTCATTTTGAACAGACTATGATGGCGACCGACGCAGAGGATCGCTCAAAATGGCCAGGGTACATAGAGGATGGTCATCCAGAGGTTTTCGACATCCGTGCAATGCCTCCCCAACCCAAGAGGAGGAAACCAGGACAGCTTTCTCCGGAGGAGATCCGACAATATTTTGAAGAGGTAATTCCCAACACTAATGAACCTTTTGTGATCCAAACCTTCTCCTACCTCGAGTGCAAAATCTATGTATACTTTGATAATATGACAAATATTTGTTCATCCGACGTCTCAGATTGTACGTGTGTATTATGCGTTTGAATATACTTCACGAGGGCTTTATCCTGAGTCATTTAAACGATGGCAATCTGAGACGTCAGATTAACAAATACGTGCGTTAGCACTTTTATGAAATTCCGAAGTTGTACCGATTTCCATAAGATTACCTTTACTTAAGGTTAAGTTTCCTCCAAAAAACTTGAACTGCACAACAAAAATGGACAAAATGACGCCGAAGACGGAATGGAGTCCCGTCACAATAGCACAAGATGGGATGGCATTCAAATCGTTGGTTGGTAATTAAGTGGATGACAAATAACGAGTCATCGCGTGTAAACAATGAGATTAACAACGTCGATTATGTAAATGTTAAACTAAGAATGTTGGGTTTTTGGAATAGAATAATTAGTAATGAAAACAAACTCAGCAGCATATTACTACGACTGGCTTTACATATGCAAAACGATGATACTCTTCAGTTCAAATGGATAAACTATATAAAAGGTATTTTCAATGAAACGGGATTTTAAAACAACGGCTTAACGATCACTTTGTACAGCAATGGTTCGATGACATTACTAGCTCATCTCGTGGGCAGTTCTACACTCTATTTAAAACGGAATTTGGTCTAGAAAAATATTTATTAAATCTGCCAGAACATATCAGAACACCAATAACAAAACTGCGCACCTCGAATTTGAAGTTTCCAATTGAAACAGGTAGATGGTATAACATACCCCGAGATAATCGACTATGTAATTTGTGCGCGGAAAGTGTCGGAGATGAATTTCATTATATANTGTGAATTATATGTATGGTTGTTTTTTATGTTTGCTTTGTATTTTCCATTGTATGTCATATCATGTTACTATACCGTACCGATTCTAAATTGAACTGTCCATTCTCTCAGTTATACATGCGTATACAAATATGTATATTGTACTTCATTTTCCATATCTGCAACTTTATTTCCTCATGTAACACACATTATGTGTCTGAGTGTCAATACAAATTTGCTTGTATACATGCATGCACCTGTCCATCCTGTCAAAATTTAATATATGAATTAATGTACATGTACCTCATGTTACACATTTCCATGTGTCTGAGTGTTGGAAATAAAATCTGAAATCTGAATTATTATCAGAATGTGAAATACAGGGTCGTCGGATAGTGCCCTCGCCTATCACCAAGACGCCAAGGGTTTGACTCCTCCTAACAGACATGGAAGGTACTGGTGACCAGGCCGACCATGCAGATTGTATCCTTGTACTCCGGTTTCCTCCCATATGAAGACCACCTCCGGGCAAACAAGAGTGATTGATATTTAATTTGAAACCAGGTTTACTTGATTTATAGTTTTTTGTGTAAAATAGATATATATAGTTGCATATACATGTAGTACATGACACGGAAACACACACTATAGATTCATCAGGCATGTACTGAAGTATCTTACCCGCATAAGGGGTTATCTGATAACAAGTCGTTTGATATGTATGGATATATTTTATATTTACATGAAATATCTAATATTTGAGAGAAAAAATCAGCTTTACATCTAAAGTGATCGTATTATTTGCAATATGACCACAATTCTATATCTGAACAGTAACATTTTTTTTCTATAAATGACTTACTACTTTTTTCTTTGGTTGTACCTTTATAAACAATTACCACAGGGGCTTATTGTATACCTACACACCTTTGAATCGTTAATACACAAAGAACGCTTCCGGCACCACAAACAACACCTTTCACGATGTCTCCATTCAACGTCACAAAGGTTTCAAGGAAAGTCATCCTCGATACTCCAGGGTTTTTCGCACTGACGTTCTCTGCACCCCTCTGGAATAGGTCATAGCAAAATTGAAGACATGCGGCTAATTATTTGATTGGTCTCAAATCTGTCATTTATAGGTTACAGAGGAGCGACACTCGACTTCAAAACCAGTTAATTTTAGCGTTGCACGACCGCGAGATTATTTTGATGTACATCAAAGAATCAAACTAGTCTTTATGTTACAGCCATTCTGAGCTTCAGATTTTGTCATGACATATTCAAGGGACGCAGAGAACGTACGTGAGCGTTACCCCTGGAGTATGGAGGATGAAGGAAGGTATGAACTCGAAAAGAGAGCTCAGTTTATAACAAGTTATTATAAAATATACAAACCATACTTACATACTTCTTTCATCTTGACAAACAGGGGTATGTAATAGTTAAAGATTTCTTCACGAAGGAAGAGTTGGAACCTTGTCTCCGAGATTTCGAGATACTGGTGGAAAATCTGGCTCAGAAGCTGTACAAAGGCGGTAAAATCAAAGGTAAGTTTAGGTCAAATGATTAAATTAAAAACGTATTTCGTCTACAATACAAAATATGATTTTATAGTGACATAACAAAATATAAATAATAATATATCCTTATACACACAATATGTTGATGAATTAACAGAATAACATTTCCAATGATATTCCGGCATTTACTCATATCAAACTACTTACGTACGTGATACTATAGTCGCCATCAAGTAAGATTTCATTCACCTTCCACAGACCTTTACGAGGAAAGCGATGTTTACACTAGACTGATCAAACTAAACGAGGAGTTCCCGGGAGCCGCTGTACTTTTACACAAGATAGGCAAGCTTCCACAGGTAATGACAAAAAAGGGCTTCTACACCAGGAAGAAAAAAAATCCACCGGTGTATTATAACAAAACACACACAATCTGCATAAGGTAGACACCGGTAATACAACAAAAACAAGCTTAAGCTGTATTTTTACACGGATCGAAAAACTTCTGACGGTGATAGAACACACACTATTGTTTATATTTTATTATTGCACGACGGGCATTTTAACACATTTGTTTGGCGGGTCCATTTGTCCACCATTTTTTGTTTCTTTGTAAATCTTATTGGAGTAATATCACAATGTGCTATACAGCAATATTCATTTTTCCTTCCATGTGAAGTGTTTAATGAATGTGTGCTGTCAGGAACTTTGAACGGTTTATTATTTCACATCATAAAACTAAGTTAGGCATAAACACCGTGATTTTAAATAAATTATTTGATTTCTGTTTCCGCTAAAGTCGCTACGGAACCTGTGGGGAAACGAGCGTCTCCTGAATGTGGTAGAGCAGGTTCTGGGTCCGGACATATCTGGAATGCCTAACTGGAACCTGCGGACAAAAACACCATACAACGAGGAGCTTACCGTCCCCTGGCACCAAGGTCAGAGTTCAACTGTGATCGCTTTCCTTATCCATGGCATTAGTCATAGGGCATCATGTTTCTTGTTTGTAAAATTAAAAACATGTCGATTGGTTAGAAACAAATAATTTCAAAATATATAACATTATATTGATTTATTTGTTATTTCGTGTTTATTTTTCCTCCATACTTTGACTTTTTTTAATGTTTTCCATTAAGCAATTGCTTACACGTGTAGGACTAAAAAATAGAAACGAAATATACCGTTATTTCGAAACTAGAATAGTACGAAATAGAACGACGTAAATTTGGAATAATATTCAGAGGTAATTGATTAACATATTTTCTGCTATTTCGTTGATATTAACTTCTGGATTCTTACGTCCAAATGCTAGAATTAGGACTGAACATTACATACATGTTCGTAATTATTTAAGAAAACTTCTGTCTCTCCATTTCGCATTTAAATCCTTGTTCATATTTTGTATAAACTGCGTTTCTTAGCTATTTGGCCACTTCAGTAACGTTTAGTTTTTACTGTTGGAGTCAAATGACCGGAAGAATCCCAAAACGATCTTAAATTATGTCTCTGACGAAAGCCGTTCTTATGACATCTGCTATATACGTGTTTTTAAGTATGTTATAAACTCTGCTTACCTAACAGATGCTGGTTACCTCGACAACGACGCTTATAAAACGTTGCTCGCGACAGTATGGATACCATTCCTGGATACAAACAAACACAATGGCTGTATGGAGGTATGTTCTATAGTTTATATATTACACAAACACAATGGCTGTATGGAGGTATGTTTCATAGTTTGTATATTACACAAACACAATGGCTGTATGGAGGTATGTTCTATAGTTAAAATATTACACAAACGTTCTATAGTTAAAATATAACACAAATAAACACAATGGCTGTATGGAGGTAAATAAACACAATGTCTGTATCGAGATGAGTGCTACATGTTTAAACAAACATTCAGTAGAGGTTCAATTCAATTCGTTTTATTCTGTTAGCCATTTCGGCTTATAAGACAAATTACATGTGTACAATACAGTTATTATATAACAACTACATGCATAGCATTCATGCAATTGTACATGTGTATGTATTAAGGAGAGTAATACATGCCAGACACATACATATAAATAAGACTATGATACTCGAGAACGTTGCTTAAATGCGAAATGTATGAATTTTCCTAGATTGTTAAGTTCTTTACCAAGTTTAAACACACTTGGTTTGCGATAATAGTATGGCTTTAAGTATTTAGAGCGTATGTTGCAATAAAATGGAAACTTCAAAATAAAGTGAAATTCGTCCTCTATATCATTGAGATCACATAATTCACATTACCTTTCGGTCCTAGCAGTATTCGTATATCTCCCAATTTCTATCTTAAGGTTATGTGGTGATAATCGAATACGGGAGATATTTTTTCTTATATAGTTTGTCAATAGGTTTTCTTAAATAAAATTGTAAATCAAAGTTATCTACCAAGTGTTGATCCAATGATCCTTTGGACGAATTTCTTATATTTGACAATATTTCTTGAGTATGAATATCATAAAATTTGTGTTCTATAATTTTATACATAACCTTACTATCATATATAGTTGCTGTTCCATAAATACCCCAATCCTAGTATATTCAGTTCTTGTCTTATTTTCATAATCCAGTCATCATTGTCTAGATTTCTTTGTTCGTAACATGCTTTGAGTATACAATTGTCTGAGGCTTTGACTTTGATCCATTATTTCAATATTTTCAATTTTCTTGCAACATGCATCGGAAGTCTGCCTAATTCAAAATTACCAAGTCATTACATGTTTTCTTACCAACACCTAAAATATTTTTACAAAAACAAGTATGTACTTTTTCAACTTCCAGCGCTATGTGAAAACCCCAAATTTCACTCGCATACTCTAGTACACGGCTAATGTACGTATCAAACACTGAACATAACGTTTGAGTGTTGAAATTGTGGTTTCTTTTTTTGTTATATAAAGCAAAATATGCCGTTCGTCCTTTTTCGGCAGCATGTTGTTGCGTTTTATTGAATTTTCCATTGAAGTTAAAAAGCATGCCCGGGTAGTTAAACTCGTTCACTTGTTGCAATTCATTATTGTCATAGTACCATTTTTCTTCATTTCGCACAATCCCTCCATTTCTAAATATCACTACTTTGGTCTTTTCGATATTAAGTGTGAGTTTCCATTCCTTATTGTATAATAACAATGCATCTAGCATATGTTTTAGTTCTTGAGGTGATTCCGCAATTAAGACGCCATCAGCATACATTAGCAAACATATGAACAGTTTTGATTTATAAAATGCATTTCACAATCATTTACAAAAAGACTATAAAGAATCGGTGAGAGTACTTCCCCGTGAAAAAGACCGATCTTGTTGTTGAAATACTCCGATATACCTCCATTATATTTTATACACGATTTGACATTTTCGTACAATGAAAGTATAATTCTGAGTACTTTACCCTGTACTCCATGCTTTATTAGTTTACACCAAAGTTTACTTTTGTCAATAAGATCAAATGCTTTTTTGTAGTCTACAAAACAGCAGTATAATCTCTTCTTTTTCTTTAAAGTTCTATTAATCAGCGATTGTAAAACAAAAATTGCATCAACAGTTGAAGATCCCGCTTTAAAACCAAATTGGGCATCTGTTATAATCGAATGTTCTTTATCCCATTTGAGAAGTCTCCTATTTAATACGGACGTAAAAAGAACTTGTCCATACAGCTTACTAGAGTTATACCTCTATAATTTCCAACAAAGTTTACATCACCTTTCTTGTGTATTGGAACTATAGTGCTACGTGACCATACATCAGGGAAAACCCCATAGTCAAACTTTTTTGTAAGAGGTTATTGGTATACGTTAAAATGTACACAAATAACAACAGTGGCTGTATGGATGTGAGTACACATTATAAAGGGGGAAAACCAGTATACCAAATGGAAGAGAATATTGCAATAAAATGTCTTAATTCTCGGCAAAGGGTATATTAATGCGGTTCTATATCACTGAAGAAAACACAGAAAAAAAGCTTCCCGAACCCTGTTTCGACTCTGGTTTTTTATCGTTCCTTTGTTTTAGTGTGTCGTCGGTTCCTGGTGTTCTCGTTCTGACGTCAGTTCTTTAGAGTGTTACCTAACACTTTATGGACAGGTGAAACTGTATAATAACAATGTAACCGTATTTTCTCAGGTCATCCCAAAAGGTCACCGTACTGGGAGGGTTGGTATGCACCAGTGCTGTTCGGGAGGAACCTGGTACATCATGATAGAGGAGGAGGAAATGAAGAAAACCTTGTGTGAGCAATCACCACATTAATAGACTTGAGCATTCTATCATTATAACATCTCTTGATACCATTTACAATAACCCGTTATGTTATCTTTGCATACAAATATACCGCATATATGGCATATATACAAACGTTCATCTCAGTGGATACATCATAGAGTATATCGAAATGTACATTGTGCATATACAGGGTAGGCCTATATGTATATGTAAACATGATGTTTTGAAATACATTGTATATGTATACATGTAAGTTCATTCATTCATATTATTCCTCCGAATTTGAAGAGTTACAAATGACATATATATTTGGGTTACAAAGATATGGGATAGATACACAAAGGACATAAGTATAAGGTAAAGAAAAATAAAAATACATGGAATCAAACAAAAAAAGTTACATGATTACACAATATATGAAGTACACAACGATAAATAAAGACATACACATGACTATATCAAAACGTATGGGAACATGTATGTAAAGACAGGACTGTCAAACTGCCAGGATGAACCATTTATAATACGAATGAATATGGTTTACAAATCTGGCAGACTATCGTCGTTAATTAAACGTAAGAAGGGGGAACAAAAACCGGCATAAATACAACAATCTCTTGCAAATGATGCAAAAAGGCGGTCCTCATTAACAAATATGTCTTTCATGGCAGCAGGTGGACTGCCGAGGATCGTCGCAATTTGCACCTCCCTACACGAGTTAGCAAAAACAACATACTCATGCAACGGATAATCGTTGACTATCTTGGTGAAAAGTTCATCACGTAGAGTTAACAACGTGGGACTACGGCAGTCTCATATACAATGCGCAACTGTATCTTCTACAAAGATATTGCACTGGGCACGTGATAGTTCACAATTAGGTGGTATACCCTATAGCTTTGCAACATTTGTACACGTTGTGTTGAGATTAGGGAAACATTTAGATAGGTACCATATTGGCGAAGGGCATGCATATGTATGTATCTTTTACAATCTAAAGTTCGATCAAAGAAATAGATTAAGAACCTATTAATACAGAAACATCTAGGTTGTTTTTGTAATAGATATTTTACAATTTGACACTCGTGGTTTGCAGGTTGTTCGGCAGAGGACAGGAAACTGTGTGCCATCCCGTTTGGAGGATTTCTCTTATTCAACAACGTCATTCCCCATAGAAGGTTTGTCACTAGGTTTTAAGACGTTACTTTTATAGAACTTTTAACGACAATTTGATTTTAAAAATGATGAATAATATATTAATGAAATATTAATATTGATATATATTTATGCTGAAAGTGTTTGATATGTGTTTCTTAATTAAGAACGAGTTATTTTGAATAGCTACACAGTGTTTCTTAATGTCGGCCGTGATATCTTGTTAGAGCTTTCGATGGCAAAAACAAGCCGATCTCTTCATAGGGCGTTGAAATAACTGTTTACTGTTTATCTCGAGGCAACATTTGGTTAAATGATAAATAGTCCTCCTCAGGTTATTTGAGTATGTATTGTTTTTTAAAAAGGAGAGACGTTGAAGAGATACCTTCGGGGAGTCGCGAGTGGGGTCTTTAAACGAAACTGACCTTTACATCAGACGATATGTTTAATCCACGCTTTTGCTTTTGTTCAGCCTAGAAAACTTTTCTAATCAAGTCCGTTGGAGTATTGACTTACGATTCAAGAAGACTGGCCTACCTAATGGTATGTTTGGCCTGAAACCGGATGTGGAAATGCGCTCTTCTAAAGATCCCAATATGAAGATTGACTGGGAAACGTTCGACTCCATTGATAGAACAAAACAGCAGATGGCATCAGTCAAAGACATTGTCAAGGTTAGTTAGTACAGGTGGTAACAGTTCATCAAAAGAAGTAAATTATGAAACAATTCTCCATATGCAAGTATACTTAAAATAATTACTTATCACTTATCAGGAAAAAACCCTGTTCTTGGAATATGCATATACATAATAGAGGTTCTTACATTCGTGTTCATGTCATATTGAATTCAATAAACGAGCTTAATAAATCCAAAATGACATGAACATGAATGTAAGATTATTTTATTACAGAACATTCATACAATGTAATTTGATAAAAAAAAATCCACTTCAAACACAATACTTACTCTATTTAAACCAAAGTACTCCGATCAAAGTATTATCGATCCGCGCAGTGCAAACTTACAGTTTTAAATACTATGAACAAAATATAACTAACACATTCAACTGTTCAATTCGTTTAGAATGACAGTGAATGTACCATTTGGTATAGAAAATAAAAGTAATTCCTGTAGTGGCGTAGGAATATATCCCCATAGTTTGGACAAATAGCACCTTAATGTTTTATTACGTGATCAAAACCATATTTATGACAACGCCGTATGACAAAGTAAAATGGGTCAGTTATATGATAAAAAGACATCTTTATGTGACCTGTTACGATTGAACACGTACTAATTACTGGGTGATGTATCCGGGATGTTTCACTGATGTTGAAACGCCTTCCCATTATAGTTACTCACAGTCCGGTCGCTTCTTTAATAGAAATGAAACATAAATATATATGTAAATCAGACCTCTGAATTATATTTTGCTGCTGTAAGTATCCATACAGTGAAGAATAGTTGTATTAAATGATACAGAGGTATCTGATTTCGTTGAAACCCTAGGTTGAGGAGGACCAGGAATTCGACTGTTCAGTCCAGGGACCGTGGATGAGGAAGTGGGAGCTTACCCACTCCAATATACACGTGAAGAAACACCAGTACATGGAGCGGGTACGCGCACAACAGGAGGAGGAGAAACAGCAACAGGAGATCAAGGAATCTCCAGCCAGAAAGAAACGAAAGCAGGAAGACTGATGTCGATGCAGGGACTTGTATATGCATTCATTAACAGTTACTTTAAATAAAACACTCTTAACCAGACAGTTTTAATTATTTAGTTCTTATTTAGATAGACTACCACTAGTCTACTGAATTTAGGCAAAAGTCGTTCAAATTCTTCGCCCGTGTTCTATCCATATACATCCTACGGCATGAGTTATTAATAATTACTATGACCATTAAGATTGTAATGTTGTGAAATAAAATAATATTCTTGTATCGTTGCTTTTTAATCATTTCTACATCAATGCACAGGTCTTGTGTTTTCTTTTCCCCCCGGAATAATTGATTGTTTTAATTCTGAATACAGGAGGAATTGGGCAATTCTCTTGTTTACCTTCTACTTCATTCACTACCATCTGTTACGCGATAATCTAGCGATGCATTTGTTGCCTGCGTTCAATGAATAAACAGCCGTTCTACAGCAATGAAAATGAATAAGTATATTAAATAAAAAGTAGACATTTAGAGAAAAATACAGCCACAACAAGGTAGGTAACATGTAGGTCAAATTTTTCAGCGTAGAGTAACAGATTGGTCAATAGGACACATGTATTTTGCAGGTTAATTTTTCCTGATCGGTATGTTTTTTCATTCGTTTTTTTATTCGTTTAATCAATAAGTTGATTGATCGGAAGAAAAATATGGCTGCAAGAAAACAGAATTCTATCTCAATCAGCATGTTGTACACATTACTACTACTATTTTTGTAAATAGTTCAAATGACAAGCTAATTTTGAATGGACATAAACAAACCCAGTTGTATAAGTTTTCATCAAAAGTTATCACATGATAATCTACTGACTAGCAACTAAACAGGTTGGGAAAAAAGAAAAATGTTTAATAAGAATATGTTAATAATATACAACATTTATATAGCGCCCTATATAATTTGTAAAATTACATTAAAGCGCTTTACAACATATGGATAATAGTATTAGTCATAATTGTGAAACAAAAACAAAGGCTTACAATCACTTTTATACATTAAGCAAGTAGATAATCATCGCAATGTGCACATAAATGAATAAATAAAGGGTGGTATTTACATGACGTCTTTGCAAAGACCCTAAAATGCAGACGTTAGATGTCCCTCTTGAATTTTGGCAGAATATTTGACTTTCTAATAGCAGATGGTAAGCTATTCCTCAACGTGGCCGAAACCCTCCCAAAGAACCGGATACCAAATATCACAGTTCGAGATTTTGGGACACACAACAATGACTCTGATGCCGACCGCAGTGATCGTGACGGCTGATACAGGGTAACAAGCTCCTGTAGGTACTGGGGAGCTGTTCCATTCAGTGACTTGTATGTGTACACCAAAATTTTGTACTGCGACCTGTATCGTACAGGTAGCCAGTGCAATGAATATAGCGCAGGTGTGATGTGCTCTCTCTTTCGAGTACGAGTAACCAGCCGTGCTACAGTGTTCTGGACCCTCTGCAGACGACTAGTTAGTTTGTCAGATATACCACAGAGCAGGGCGTTACCATAATTCAACCGAGAGGTAAAAGGTGAATGCACCAAAATCTTGCATGCATCTGCAGTTATAAACTGCCGGATACAGCCGATGTTCCTGATCTGGTAGTACCCCTAAGTTTTTAACAGCTGGGACAGTCTCAATAGTTCTGGCACCGACCTTAAGTTGGAGAGCCATTGATTGCTGATACTTTGGGAAAAAGACGATTAGTTCCGTCTTTTCCACATCAAGCTTTAGCATGTTGGCGTTCATCCATGTACTGATATCTGTCAGACAAGCTTCCAGATTTTCTGAAATTGTATCCTAACTGTCCTTTGGTTTGCTGACCATGTAGATAGCGAAGGCTATGGCGACGACAAATCCCTCCGATCTGTTTGAAGTACAGGCAATATTTTCGTGGTCCTAACACCGAAACTTGAGGAACCCCGAAATCTAGTACTTTGTCATGTGAAGTGGTAGATCCGATGGAAACACACTGTCGTCGTTAACTCAGATAAGACTGTATCCAGCTTAGTGCGGTAGTTAACCTACACAGAACTAGTGAAGATGTTTCAAATGTAGGGCGCCAGGATCCCACTGGGATCTCTTGTAAGTCGTGATCAACATATAAATTGAGGAGTTTTGATATGAAACTCCTATTAATGAAAAATCTATACTTATCATCAACAAAAAGCAATGTTCCCGGTTGGTACTTATAATATTGTCTGAGCCAAAACATATTAGATACAGCTCTCTATATCCGGGTGAGTTAATACTGCCAAAAGGAAAGTAGAACCAGTTCGAAAAGGGGAGGATTAAGGAAGTACATATTTAAACATTTAGTAAATCTGTGTTGAAAGACAAATATACATTTTATTTCGTCCAAAGGTCCAAGGTCGAACGAATAAACAATCCCTGTCAGAAGTGTTCAAGGACACAAGAGAATATATTCCAGCTCACCAACAGAATTTCCAGTGTACCCTTACTTCAGACTTCCTCGATTCAGATAGAGGTCTTCCTTTAAGAGAGCACCAAATGATGAACATTTTGAAATATCCACTTAAAGATCATGAAGGGTAAGATGCCGTGACTTGCGTGGTGATAACACAGTAGTCGGTTTGAATCATCCGGAGCACTCTTAGGAAGTAGCATAAGAGGGGATACATGCACAAAATCCATTGTCCACTGATCGTCGGTGCTTCGAGTCCCAGCCCATTTGATCTAGATAAGGAGAGAAGAAATACTTGCAGTTTTCTATTCTGTTCACGGGTGTAAACGTCCCGTTTGCAGGTCACGGCAAAGCGGCCGATCACGTGCATGTGCAGATTATCCTAAGAGAAATCCGTGTGAACTCGTAACCAAAACCATACATAAACAGATGTTTGTTATGGTTCTATTAATAAAATAGCTGATCCACAAGTGACTGGCTGGAGCTATACTCCGTTCACATCCGCTCAATACTCCGGATACATTAATACATTTGTTACAAATATTCTGCCAAAATATTTATCCTTCCGGGAATATGAGCTGCTCAAAACTAATGCCCATGTCAATAACTGCACGGATGGATCATATCTCTTGCCAAGTAACACAGTCTGTCCAAGTAAATAAACGTCCACATACATGAACACATAAATGTCCCGATTCCTGAGGTAAATGGACACAACTAACATAGTCATAGTAACACTCGTGGAGCTGTAGCTAGTCCCAATTACATGCTCTTGAACTAGGGTCGGGTTCCCTCAGAAGGAGTTTTTTCTTTAAGAAAGATATTCTGGAATGTCCCGGTGTAGGCATGGATCTTGGAAATTCACTGGCACCACCCAATCAAAATTTCTTGAGAATCTGAAGGGACCGCAGTGCTTCCATTTTGAGCTTGAAGACTAACAGATATGCATTTTTTAAACGGTTCGAAATTCAGAATTGGACTACCACAAGGAACAGGCTTCAAACTCCTTACATGGTGGAACAAATTCTACAGTAGGTTGTTTCTGCTTTTTTAAATAAAATTGCTATTTTGTCTACATATCATTTCTTATTCAAAGTAACTCTTGAACTCTTACCACAAAAACATCCAGAAATGTACGTTAAAGATGACCATGAGCTAGTTTTAGGGTCGCTATCGAGATCTCATTGTGAAATATGTTACTTGTGTTTCTGTGCAATATAGATTAGATTGTTATGATAATGCTCAAAAATGTGTCTTGCTGTTTCGTTATCACGACCCCGGTACTTCAAGTTACTTAAGATTTGACCTCGACTGACAAGGCGTATCATTCGGAGCACAAATGGTCAGTTTGTAAATATTTTATTTGTTCATAATTGTCCTACTTATATCAATTGTGGGCTCAAATTACCTAATCTACGGTTTCATTGACACTTTGGTACTCTTACGCTTTTTTTTAGTTCCGACATTGAAGATCTGTCGAAATCATTTTTTCACCATACCTAGACCATAGGTAGAACAGAAAACATAAATCTCTCCATCGGTTGGTGAATTAAGAATCTGATACTCATTGGCCTGCCACGTATTTCTTCCGTCTAACAGCTACATTACGTCTATCTACCTGACCCCTCTATGTGGTTGGTCTAAAAGCTACATTACGTCTACCTCACCCCTCTCTGTGGTTGGTCTAAAAGCTACATTCCGTCTACCTGACCCCTCTCTGTGGTTGGTCTAAAAGCTAGATTACGTCTACCTGACCCCTCTCTGTGGTTGGTCTAAAAGCTAGATTACGTCTACCTGACCCCTCTCTGTGGTTGGTTTAAAAGCTACAGTACGTCTACCTGACCCCTCTCTGAGGTTGGTCTAAAAGCTACATTACGTCTACCTGACCTCTCGGTGGTTGGTCATAAAGCTTCAGTACGTCTACCTGACCCCTCTCTGTGGTTGGTCTAAAGGCTACATTACGTCTATCTACCTGACCCCTCTCTGTGGTTGGTCTAAAAGCTACATTCCGTCTACCTGACCCCTCTCTGTGGTTGGTCTAAAAGCTACAGTACGTCTACCTGACCCCTCTCTGAGGTTGGTCTAAAAGCTACATTACGTCTACCTGACCCCTCTCGGTGGTTGGTCTAAAAGCTACATTACGTCTACCTCACCCCTCTCTGTGGTTGGTCTAAAAGCTACATTACGCCTACCTGACCCCTCTCTGTGGTTGGTCTAAAAGGTACATTACGTCTACCTGACCCCTCTCTGTGGTTGGTTTAAAAGCTACAGTACGTCTACCTGACCCCTCTCTGAGGTTGGTCTAAAAGCTACATTACGTCTACCTGACCCCTCTATGTGGTTGGTCTAAAAGCTACATTACGTCTACCCGATCCCTCTGTGGTTGGTCTAAAAGCTACATTACGTCTATCTACCTGACCCCTCTCTGTGGTTATTCTAAAAGCTACGTTACGTCTACCTGACCCCTCCCTGTGGTTGGTCTAAAAGCTACATTACGTCTATCTACCTGACCCCTCTGTGTGGTTGGTCTAAAAGCTACAGTACGTCTACCTGACCCCTCTCTGAGGTTGGTCTAAAAGCTACATTACGTCTACCTGACCTCTCTGTGGTTGGTCTAAAAGCTGCATTACGTCTACCTGACCCCTCTCTGTGGTTGGTCTAAAGGCTACATTACGTCTATCTACCTGACCCCTCTCTGTGGTTATTCTAAAAGCTACAGTACGTCTACCTGACCCCTCTCTGAGGTTGGTCTAAAAGCTACATTACGTCTACCTGACCCCTCCCTGTGGTTGGTCTAAAAGCTAAACTACGTCTATCTACCTGGCCCTTCTCTGTGGTTGGTCTAAAAGCTACATTACGTCCATCTACCTGACCACTCTCTGTGGTTGGTCTAAAAGCTACATTACGTCTACCTGACCCCTCCCTGTGGTTGGTCTAAAAGCTAAACTACGTCTATCTACCTGACCCCTCTCTGTGGTTATTCTAAAAGCTACATTACGTCTACCTGACCCCTCCCTGTGGTTGGTCTAAAAGCTACATTACGGCTACCTGACCCCTCTCTGTGGTTGGTCTAAAAGTTACATTACGTCTATCTACCTGCCCCCTCTCTGTGGTTGGTCTAAAAGTTACATTACGTCTATCTACCTGACCCCTCTGTGTGGTTGGACTAAAAGCTACATTACGTCTACCTGTCCCCTCCCTGTGGTTGGTCTAAAAGCTAAACTCCGTCTATCTACCTGACCCTTCTCTGTGGTTGGTCTAAAAGCTACATTACGTCTACCTGACCCCTCTCTGTGGTTGGTCTAAAAGCTACATTACGGCTACCTGACCCCTCTCTGTGGTTGGTCTAAAAGCTAAACTACGTCTATCTACCTGACCCTTCTCTGTGGTTGGTCTAAAAGCTACATTACGTCTACCTGACCTCTCGGTGGTTGGTCTTAAAGCTTCAGTACGTCTACCTGACCCCTCTCTGTGGTTGGTCTAAAAGCTACATTACGTCTACCTGACCCCTCTCTGTGGTTGGTCTAAAAGTAACATTACGTCTATCTACCTGACCCCTCTCTGTGGTTGGTCTAAAAGCTACAGTACGTCTACCTGACCCCTCTCTGAGGTTGGTCTAATAGCTACATTACGTCTACCTGACCCCTCTCTGTGGTTGGTCTTAAAGCTACATTACGTCTATCTGACCTCTCTGTGGTTGGTCTAAAAGCTACATTACGTCTACCTGACCCCTCTCTGTGGTTGGTCTAAAAGCTACATTACGTCTACCCGATCCCTCTGTGGTTGATTAGAGGACTTTTCACCTTTCATTTTTAGGTATCTGGTCTTTTTCTTATCTTTTTGTTTCGAATTCTGAATAAATGATATTATTTTCATTCTTTGTAAATCTCTTGAACTTCATTTCGAAAAGTTGTTACCATATCAAGCACATTTATATAACCAAACATATTTGAAAATGTCCATCTTCCTCAAAGGTGCTGAACTTTTGAGATTTGGGTTTAGTATAATGGGTTAAAATATAAATATTGAGGCCCATTTACACAAGCCCAAATCTACTGTGTATGGCTACTGTGATCTTTCTTATTAAGTTTTTTCCCCAAACTATCATACATTATACACGAAGTTCATTAAACAAATGACATCCTTACACTTCTCTTTCACCAACATCATCAATATACAACAGAACCGGTTTATATTTTACTACCAGCAACCCAAGGACACGTGTACACTGGTTGCTGGTAGTACAAGAGATCCCAGAGGGATCTTGGCGCCCACCTTTGTACCATCTTCATTAGTTCTTTATCAGAGATCTTTTCTCTTCTTTCCCCTAATCTGTTTGATCGAGTCATGTTAACAGTAAAAGCACCTTGAGGTAACTTTTGATCTAAAAGTAATACTGATGTGTATGAAAGCCAAACTTCAAAGTGAGTTTGTCATTTCACATATTTACTAGTACAGTACTTAATGTGAAAGAAATAGAATCGATCATTGCAATATGAGAAAGATCTGTTTAGTTCTTCTTTTAATCCATTTTGTTTTTATGATCAGTCTCAAAATATGACATACAAAACAAGGGATCAAGGGGAACCTACATTTAAAATTTGAGAAAGATCCCTCTGATACTTCTCGAGAAATAGCGATAACAAACTTTCAACATCAAAATCAAAGATGGCTGCTTGTCGGGGCCATGTTGTTTATCCGATTAGTCTCTAAAGTTTCCCTGCACAGCTAAGGACCAAGAGGAACCTACATATCAAATTTGAGAAAGATCCCTCCGATACTTCTCGAGAAATAGCGATAACAAACTTTCAATATCAAAATCCAAGATGGCTGCCTGTCGGCCATGTTGTTTATCCGATCAGTCTCAAAAGTTGCCTTGCACAGCTAAGGGCCAATGGGAACCTGCATATAAAATTTGAGAAAGATCCCTCTGGTACTTCTTGAGAAATACTGATAACAAGAATTGTTTATGGACAGACGACGGACCACGGACGGACCACCGACGCAGGGTGATTTGAATAGCCCACCATCAGATGATGGTGGGCTAAAAATAAAAACCAGTTCTGTTGTACATTGATGATGTTGGTGGAAGAGAAGTGTAATATAAGGATGTCATTTGTTTTATGAACTTCGTGTATAATGTATGATAGTTTGGTGAAAAACAAGTGTACACTAATTTCCTACAACAGACATAATAAATACATAACAGGACACGATTTACTAGAAAATAGGAACCTTTAATTACTGCTTTACAATTAACCAGTGTATAACAAATAATTCATACAATCATACATACATATATATCAGTAAAAACAGACTGTAACAAAGTCACGTCCTCAATACAGGTAATGCACAGCAATTCATCCAAATAAAAGCCTATACCCACATTTTACTTTTACAGAACCTTTCGTCCATTGGAACATTTCCATCCTAATTGTGTCAAATACTCTATTATAGTTATATTATTATCAGTTATCAGTTACCCATCTCATTGACTCAACTTGTAACCAGCGTTAGTTTCGATACAATCATGAAACTGAATTGAAAGTGTATAGTAGTTTATGCTTATGGTTCATCATTTCAAAAAGGGCTAAAAAAGGTGTTCTAATAGCAGGTTGAGCATATATCATGGCAAATACAGTACAATTTGTAATGTCTGTGATTGAAAACGACACACATGTGCATGCTGGGTAAGTTGAGACGAGTTGTCTCTCTTGTTTCATTGGTCAACCAACAGTCTAGTGATAATCATCATAATGAAATTCTCTCATAGCATCAACAGACATCTTCTGGTGAAATCAACAAACTGTTAGATATACATTATACCTGAATACATGACATTCCATAAGTATCACCTGACAAACACATAAAGCTACTATACAACTTATGTATACATGTAGGCCTCTATAAACTGATTGAACTCATTTTGAGGGGAAAAGCCTTTAAACTAATTGCTTCTACTCACTGTATACACAACAAAAATGACAATAATGAACAAATGTAAATATAGATTTCATTTTTACAGCAATATATTTGCTGTTTACACATAAAAATGTATACCTTCATATTAAACAGGAATTTTAAATTTTCTCAGCTTCAACAACAATTGAACAAATATGTGTGTCTAGTTGGATATAGAGGTAATTAACTGTTGATAATCAGCTCAGTCGGTATGAATGACTAGATTCATAGTACGAGATGTCTGTTGGTAAATACTGATCAAATATACAACTGCTTCACAGTTTTGTGATGTTCTCCTTGAATCCTGGAAAAGTTAACACATCTTGATTGTATATATTACCGACATCAATTCATTACTTTCCCAAAAGCAGTTGTATTTCTTGATTCACTTCATTTTCTCGCTGAGGATTGCACTAGATCTCAAAATATTGCTTAGAACTTCAATTTTTTTACACTGAATAAGCAATCACGAAAAAACCCAAACAATCAGTAAATCGTTAATTACGATAATTGTTCTGATATTGTTCAACAACTTAAATATGTATCAATTGCTTTCTAGCCAAAGCCTAAGACACCCTTCAACATTTAGGGCACTATAGATTTCAACATGTGTATCTATTGATAAACTGTTCCATACAGAAAAACTACTTGTCCATTGGTCTGTACAGAGCGGGAGTTGTCAATAGTTTGTTTGTCTTTGCATCTTTTTCTGTGGATGACCAGCAAATGCTTCATATACTGTAATAATATTATAAGGCTGCCAACACAGAGATGAATGTTTTCTTTATGGAGATTTCAGGGATTACAGTTCAGACAAAATGACCTCTCCATACATTCATCATAACTGTAAAAACAAAAGAATAAAACATAAAATAAGTTAAAGTATGGAGGATTATCCACAAGTGTGAAAACTACAGTATCTAGTGTCTTTATTCATAAAGTTAATCCAAAAACAACTCTCTACAATTATTAAATTAAGAGGCAATGTAAGAACCAGCATTCATGGCCTAGCTTACTTACTTGATTGTTGAACAAAGCTGACAGAAGTCACCTTGGCAGCCACAACACTGTTGGATCGAGTCTTTATCAACTATTTTTTCACAAAAACAACATTTTGATTTGTTGGAGTGGCAGTTCTTCTTTCCTGGTAATTTTCCTTTAAAAATAAAGAACTGTGTATTACAATTTACAAAATCAACCCTGCATGATCTGTGGATATTTTACATTTATTTCAACATATACAATTCATACTGCTTATCAGAACTCAAATATGCTACATAAAGAGGAAACTGGAACAAAAAAAATATCTGTATAAAATTTAAAGTGACCAGAATGAGGCAGTGTTGCCCTGTATGTACATGTATACCTTTGAAAACAAACCCAGTTAGCATAGTTCACTGTGGAGCTTGACACTTACCTTTTCCTTTCAATTTGAAGAAATCAAAAGACTTAGGGGGAGCTGGACATGGGTCATCTATTGACATTTGTTCCTGTGATACAGGGGTAGTGAGCTGGCCAGTCTGGTCAAGACACATCTGTCCTGGGAGTATGGCACTGGGCACTGTCTGGAATGTGCATGAGTCCACAGCCATCTGCTCCTGTGTGATTGGGGCTGTCATAGTAAGCTGCCCTCCCTGGGTCAGACACATCTGACCTGGAAGAGTCATGGTAGGGACAGTCTGTGGAGGGCTCAGGCTAGGAAATGTAATGTTGTTATCATTACCATCAGTAACCATGGCGTTCGTCTTGCTCTTCAATGCTCCATTAAACAGAATCTGTCGTGTCTTCTCTGAAACAGTTTGCAGACATCCACCATGTTATAATAATAGTAAGAAGATAATGTTTCAAAAATTGGAGGTGCTCCAGTACCTTCTTGTACATAAAACATACAATTGTCAATGTTATATGAAAATATGTAACAGAGGAAGAGAAAATCAAGGCCAGATTGGGACATTTCCGGGTTATTTCGCCCCAAATCCTGTTTGCTCTAGGTTGTTTAGCCCTAAAACATTTTGTTTAGGGCGAAACATTGTTTGGTATTTTCTTTTCATTTCTATTTGTTTTAAGTCACAAATTAAGCCTTCTTAGTCTTCCATATCATTAAAATCAGTTTTATTAAAAAAAATATGTATATCATTAAAATCAGTTTATTAAAAAAAAATGTGTTTGTGTTGTTTTTAAGTACATTGTAAAGCAAAAAAACGGATTACGTTATTTTCTTCAAGCTGACACACATTATAACATATATATTGAATTTAATTTTAGAAATAAATAAGAATAGTGAAATGAAACGAAAATGGTGTAATTTTAATTACAATGCGGGATATACAACAATAATAATTTTTCCATGTTAACACATTTAGTCTAGTGTACACATATTCGTCGCCGTGTGATGATGTTTTCTTTACTTGATTTCTGCGCACATCTGTATTGTTTTTTGCTAATTGTAGGAGATCATTTTGAGATGTTTTGATAGTACTGACCAATAAAAATTAATATTTCAATTTCAATTCTATTTATTACCAAATGCACATTGCATATAGGCATACAGAAATATACATATTGATAAATACTTTACAAATATCTTGTACAATGGCGGAAAACATGCAATAGATTCAATTCCATACACAATAATTACAAATTAATGAAATGGTCATAAGTTGGAGAAAACTTTAAGCCTTTCCTAAGGTAACTTAGCGGACTCTTATGAAGCATAATTTAGTTGTTTATGAAATAATGCAAATAAAGTTTAAAGCTAACCAAATTTCTAAGAAATAACAAAACTTCATATGCATATTTGAGTAGATAATTTTGAGTAGGTAACTTGTCATAAATAGGGCATTTCTCAATACTGTGTTATAATTCAACATTACGTTATGTCCATATCTTATCTATATATATTATAAGTATTGTACAGAATGTACTTACAGAAAGTATTTATTTATTTTCATTCTTATACGCAATTTGTACCTAATATATGTCCATTTCGTATACGTATCTATGTACTTAGAGAAATTAATTTAGTTTCATTATATGTCCATATATTCATATATGTTGGTATAAAGTGTCTTGACGTGACGGGGTGTTTTTTAATTGTTTATATCATGTTAGAAGTTAAATAACTATTACTATTTTACATTCTTAACGTCAAAACATATACAGGTGCATTTTATAAAGAACAACATTACTGGTTGTAATGTGCAGTATATTCCGGATATTAGTACATTGTATGTCCGTTGTCGGCTTCGGTGATCAATATACAAGTTTGTTCTTCATCTTCCGGCAGGTAAGGCCATAATAAATTATTTGCTAGATTCTCATCCCCGCCCGCCCCCTCTTTGAGGCCCCGCCCCAATTTTTTTTATTTGCAAAAAAAAAAACGAAAATACGAAATCCGGATTTTTTTTCTGTTTTCCGCCTCAAAAATTAGTTTTATATTATCAATTTCCGGTTGTAGAAAACTCGTCGTCTGGAAGTATTGTTTTTGTAATTCTAAAGCTGAAACGGCAACTTGCCGTTCTTAAAGATTGGTATGGGTGTTAAGTAGCCGATACTAAAACAAGTATTTTGCTACTGAACAAGTCTGTCATGAATTAGCCGAAGGAACAATTGACAAATCTGCGCCCGTCGAGTGTGGTAACAGGGCCGTTGTGTCGGCCGGTAAATCGAAAGTGGAACTGACCCAGTGTGATTGCGCATGTACGGTTGGGGAAGTGGTGTCGTACCTCGGAGCTTATTTAGAATTTAATATTGATGCTGATACAGAAGAGCAATCGGCAACTGCCAGTGCGAAATCCGACGCATTTACAATTTTAATGTCGAGATTTTCTTAAGCAACACATCTACCGGCAAAGCATGGGAACGTCGTAAATGACAAACTGAGAATGTACAATGATATAATCGACTGGTTACACGATCAGAAAGTTGGATTTATCAGTACAAATACGGAAACAATTCCATTCTTTTCTTTCCTCACACTGCAAAATCAGGCATTATATGTTCTGTGTCAAAAAGTGTGGGAAG